TTGTCTGTCACCTTCTGTACTATTATCCCAGCATCTCCAGCGGTGCCTGGCATAGTGGAAGCAGGTGCTCAATAAATATTTGTCACAAGTATGTTTAAGGTATAAATTAATGAATATGCGATACCAGTCAGCTGATAGAAAAGCTAATGTGATTTTGGGCCTCATTAAGGGTCCACGTATATATGTAAAGAGGTGTAAGGAATTGGCTCACATGATTATGGAGGCTAGCAAGTCCCCAGTTCTGCAGAGTCTGTCCCAGTTTGAATCCGAAGGCCAGCAGGCTACTGTAGAACCAGGAAGAGCTGATGTCCCAGTTTGAAGGAGATGAGTTTGTCAGGCAGGAGAATTTTCTCTTACTCAGAGGGAAGGGTCAGGCCTTCAACTGATTTGAGGCCCACCCATGTTAGGAAGGGCAGTCTGTTTTACTTAGTCTACTGATTTAAATGTTAATCTCATCCACAGACACCCTCACGGAAATACTCAGAATAATGTTTGACCAACTATCTGGGCACCCTGTAGCCCAATCAGGTTGACACAGAATTAACCATTCCAGTGCATTTGCCAGACCGCACCCCAAACCCCAAGTCTTGTCCCAGGCACCACATTTCTGAGACTGTGCTGGTGAAGATCTGAAAACCACAGTATCTGGGGAGGAGTTGAGGGGGCTGGAAATAGTGCCCCGAAGAACCGAAGTCATGATCGGGGTCAAATGACATCTTCAAACATTTGAAGACTTGTCTCATGGAGAAAAAAAGAAGGAATGCTTGGTCTGGAAGGCATAGCTCAGGCACTTGGGTGGAAGGCAAAGCTTACAGAGAGAACAGAAATCTGCCTTGGGAGCTAATGAGGTGTTCTTTGTGGCAGGGTTAGCTCAGAGGCCAGCTCTGACCAGGAGTCAGAAGTCTCCTGTTCTGGTCTTGCTCCAGTGCTGATTCTCTGACCTTGGGTAGGCCAGTAGCTTCTCTGAGGTTTCTTCCTCTCTACTGTGGAAATCATAGTAGCCTCGTTCACAGGTCGCCCCGAGGATCGGATGGAAATAACATTACCTCCTAAATCTCGGTGGGGGTTGGGGGAAGCCTTTGTCCACGTCCAGCTTTTTCAGAGCCAGGAGAACGGGTGGTCAGGAGGAGTGCTGACTAACCCCTTGCCACAGCAGAAAATTTCCACTGACCTGCAGTCAGGGACACTTCACTGCCTCTGGCAGCTTTGCTTTCTTCATATTGGAATGTGCCTGAGGAGTGGCAGCTCACTGCTTTTCCAGATTCCTCAGCCGTGAGTGTATGAACCTAGTTGCCGCTGGCCCAGGAGAACACAGACTTGAGCGGAGTTGATGGTACTTGGAGGGATCAGCCAGGAGTTGCCCCTTCTTGGAGAACCAGCCATGCCATAGGATTGCTTTTCTGTGACTTGAGGATACATTTCCAAGTTGCTCCCTATTTCTTCTCTCATTTACACGGCACAGCCCACCTTCCACTCTGAAGAAACATACTCTCTGTAAAACGCTTAAAACTCAAGGGTTTTATTTTATAGCTGTCACATGAATGAGGACAAAAGGAGTGGAGCATCGAGGGATGCTTGCCTAAACATTCAGAACTGTGCTGGCAGAGGGACAATGGCCTTTGCACTGTTGTGGGTTTTTTCGGTGACAGGCTTGATAAAAATGGCTTTTTAGCACAAGTGAAAAGAAGATTTTACTACAGTGCTTAAGTCATAAAAATCAGATAAACACTGAAGTTCAGTGTTGGCGAGTAACTAAGCCTCGGAGGATTTGGACACAGGTTGGCATGGTTATTGTTTGGCAGGTAAACGGTTCAGGAACTTTTTCTTAGGCAGGCATTGTCAAAACAAGGTTGAAGCTTAACCGTCCCCACTGGTTTTGCTTATATAGAACTGGCATCAGGACATTTGGCAAGTGTCATTACCACAACTCACAGCACTTCGTGGTGCCTGATACATAGTAGGTGTGCAGGACGTGGCAACTATTGTTCGAGGTCATGGCTTATGTCCAGTGTCGTAATGATTAGTTCTGGGCTTTCTGGGCCAATACAAACCAGGGAGCTTCCCTTGTTCTTTATTAAGTACTCGACAGCCCAACTTCTAGCATAGAGAGGGCTGTCAATTTGGGGATCCAATCTGGGAATCCAGTAGATATTTGAATGTTACTAATATGTGGTCAGTTCAAAGTGTAGGCCAGGATTTCTCAGTCACAGTACTATTGACATTTTGGATAATTCTTTTTTTTTTCTAAAGATTTTATTTATTTATTTGAGAGAGAGAGAGAAAGAACATGAGAGAGGGAAGGGTCAGAGGGAGAAGCAGACTCCCCGCTGAACAGGAAGCCTGATACGGGACTCGATCCTGGGACTCCAGGATCATGACCTGAGCCGAAGGCAGTCGCTTAACCAACTGAGCCACCCAGGCGCCCCAACATTTTGGATAATTCTTGATTGTGGGGGCTGCGCTGTGCATTGTAGGATGTTTAGCAGCATCCCTGGGCTCTATTCGCTAGATAGCTCCTCCCTCCCAATTGTGACAATAAAAAATACTTCCAGACATTGCCAAAAGTCCCAAGGGTGACAAAATCACCCCAGTTGAGAACCACTGGTATAGAGGAAGCTGCAAGGTACCCACACTACCTCTGACCTATAATAATGCTTTTCAAACTATGGATCACTCAGTACCAACTAACGCAGGGCTTCTCGACCGTGGCTGACCTTGGGAATCCCTCAGGGAGCCTTAAAATATTCCGATGTCTGGGTCCCATCCCAAAGATTCTAATTGGTCTGGGATGTGGCCTGGACCTTAGGATATTTTAGAAGCTCTTAAGTGCTTCTACTTTTCAGCCAAGAGTGAGACCACAGCATTAGTAGGTCATGGAATCAATTTGGTGAAGAACTTCTTTGCTAGCATTTAAAACAATACAGTAGTGCCCCCTTACCTGCAATTTTGCTTTCCGTGGTTTTTTTTTTTTTTTTTATCGGTGGTCAGCTGCAGCCTGGAAACAGACGATCCACCTTCTGACAAATTGTCAGGAGGCCAGTGGTAGCCTAACACTGCATCACAATGCCTGTGTCATTAACCTCACTTCATCTCCTCACATAGGCATTTTTTTTAAGATTTATTTATTTATTTTAGGGAGAGAAAGAGCGAGCGCACAAGCAGGGGGGAGGGGCCGAGGGGGAGAGAGAGAGAGAGTCGCAAGCAGCATCCCGATGAGCGTGGAGCCCAACATGGGGCTCGATCTCATGACCCTGAGATCATGACCTGAGCCGAAATCAAGAGTCGGACACAACCAACTGAGCCGGCCAGGAGCCCCTCCTCACGCAAGCATTTTATCATCTGACATCATCACAGGGTGAATATAGTATAACAAGATAGTTTGAAGAAGACCACATTCACATAACTTTTGTTTATAACATATTGTTTGTTTTTTTTTATTTTATTTATTCACTTGAGACACAGAGATACAGAGAGGGAGAGAGAGAGCATGAGCAGGCAGAGAGGCAGAGGGAGGAGGAGAAGCAGGCTCCCCACGGAGCCGGGAGCCCGATGCGGGGCTCGATCCCAGGACGCTGGGATCATGACCTGAGCCGAAGGCAGACGCCCAACCATCTGAGCCACCCAGGCGCCCCTATAACATATTGTTTTAATTGCTCTGTTTTATCACTAATAATCTCTTACTGTGCGTCATTTATAAATTAAACTTTATTATAGTTATGTATGTATAGGAAAAAAATGGTATATGTAGGGTTCAGTACTGTCTGTGGTTTCAGGCACCCATTGGGTGTCTTGGGAGGTGTGCCCCACAGATAAGGGGAGACTACTATATATACATATAATTGAATGGAAAATATTAAGGCCAGCACAATAGTTAGGATAAGTACCATTTTGTATGTACGTTAAGCTTGAAAACACTGCTGTAAGCAATAGAACCATAAGCAAAATCCGTGTTCTCAACCTGCTTTTAGTCTGGTTATTTATAATCCCTTCAGAAACTATTTTGCTTTTTGTTAGTGGTAAATTGTTAATGTGAAATTTAATACATTTATAGTTGTGTGACTTAGGAATTTATGAACCTTTTTGCTGACAATTTGAGGTTTCACCCTGGATATTAATAAAACCAGTTATTTTTGCAAAAGCTAGCCAATTAAGATGACGTGCATATTTTCACCAACTAAATTTGATTACAGTGCAGCAACAAGATGATAATTTTCCTCCTTTGTATGTGTTAATTATATATACCATGATGTGCTAGGTCAGCAATTGTCTAAATACATCGAGCAAGAATGTGGCACTTGCATAAATCATCCTGAAAGTTTTATGAGGATCAGTCTAACAGCCTCTTGACTTCATTATCTGTGGGTATTTGAGGGTTTACACAATAAACGGTAACATACATGCATCTTTCTTCTAGGAAGCAGTGTAATGTGGTAGAAGACTGGCAGTCTCCAGTCATTCTTTTTATCTCCGTGTTCAGGAGAACATAAACCAAAGGGGGATTCTTGCTGTGTCTCCGTGGTGGTGACTGTCGGTAGATGCTATGGTCGTGGAAGACCTAGAAGTGAAGTTTACTTGCTACTGGGACTTTGGATTGCTTGTCCTGATCTTGAAGCCCACTACGAGCCCATGACAACACTCACCAAGACTTTCTGCTCGACTTGAAACCCATTACTTGAAATTACTTCAATGTAGATATCAGAAAAAAACAGCAATGATAATTCACAATGCACTCTGCAAGTCTCTCATCACAGAGTTCTTTGAAAATTCTTACGTACGTCCTGCATCATTGGTAGTTTTATTGTTTTCTGGGAGAAGTAGCCTTGGGACTGTTTCTTGAATCAGCTGCTGAAATAAGATGATCTACCTGTATAACAAAGAGAAGAGGTTGGATTGACAAATACCCATTGGTTGATAAGTGCCTTCTCTAATTAAGATTCAGCTCCCGGTGACTGCACCACATTAAATATGTATGTTCCTCTATTCTATTCTATTTCCTCTAGGTGTCTCAGGGTTCCATGGTCCAATTTTCATCAGGAAACTTCTCCTTGTCAGCAGAAACAGAAGAAAGGAGCTTCCCCCATGGAAATGAACATCTGTTAAATTGGGCTCGAAAGGAGTACGGAGCAGTCACTTCATTCACTGAACTCAAGATAGCAAGAAACATTTATATTAAAGTGGGAGAAGGTAAATTTTATGTGGTTTCAATTAATGACTGATTTATGACAATCAGTTGTTTTCTTTTCAGAGAGCAGGTGGTTAGGGCAAGGAATCATAGAATTACAGAATGTTGGAGCTGGCAGGGACCCGGGAGATCATTGGGCCTGCTCCCCTCATGCTCCCTCCTTCCCTTTTTCCTTCGGAGGAAACAGGCCTGGTAACAGCCAAGCAGGAAATGGGGAGTAGCATGGTTGAGAGAGGAGGAGGTTGTGGTGTAGGGTTTAGAAGACATCCATGCACAGAAGTCAGAGTAAGGGAAGGGTGAGAATCTGAGGTGAGGGAAAGGAGGTGATCACTAATGGAAAGAAGGAAGAGTTGCCAGAATGAGTCAACAGTTAGGGCATCCCCTTACCTATTAACCTGCAAACATTGGAAGCCAATGTTAGTTTATGGTCTTGAAACATCAGTTAGATTTTGGACAATAGCAGAGGAAAAGTGTTTGAATATATTTTTAATACCCATGCCAGTTACAAGGACAAAATTATTGGAGAACGGAACTGTGTGGCCTCGATCAGAGATGGCCCATTTTAATTTCCTTGCCTTGCAGAAGGATATATATATCTGGTCAGTCAGCTTGAAGGCCCATTTTTAAAAATAACTTGTTTCATCATTATTTTTAGTTGAGTATATTTGGAGCCCCCCTAAGTTACTAGAAATAACAACTCTTGTGAATGAGTTCTTGTTATAGTCAGGTGATTATGTGAAAACTGCATGTCACATTGGCAGCGTCCATCTGCTTTCTGTTGAATTCTGCAGCACTTGCCACCTCTAACACAGGCAGCTTGACATGGGTTATTGAATGCTTGCTCTTGGCCCGTTCTCATACCTGGGCTGTGTGACGGGTGCAGGAAAGGCAGACCCTGGTGCTGGAGTGTGTGCTGTGTGCAGAGGCCACATCGGGTGCTTTTCCCATGGACCCCACTGAACCTCTCTAGCAATCCTAGGAGGAAACCATTATTTCCACCATTTTACAGAGGGGTTAGTGGTGGGTGAAGCTAGCTTGCTCAAATCCACATTATTAGCAAGGGGTGAAGCCAGAATTCAAACCCAGGTTTCCTGACTCTTGAGTCTAATGCTTGTTTCCTGATGCCGTATAGTAAGTCTTAGCCAAGTAAGCGCAACCTAAAAATGCAAGTAGGCACCTGGATGGAAAGACTTGTTTCACAGAGTAGAGAGAAGAATTTTAGATGAGTGTTGGACTCAAAAAGTTGAAGTTTGTTACTGGACTCTGAGGGTGGTCAGGTAGCTTATAATAGAAGTCAAATCCCATTGGAACAAAATGAAAAACCTCTTTTAACAAAGATTCTAAGCCCTGCCAGTGGTCTGCGTTTCTGAAGCAGAACTCTAGTAGCATAAAAGAATGCTGACTATTCACCCTTCCCCCGCTAGAATTTGTTAGAATAAGAAAATGTATTACAGTAACACTTAGAATGTTGAGCTGTTCTCCTGACAGTGCATGAACTTCTATGTGCAGTCGTCGCCTGCCTTGAGAGTGAGGAGTTTAGTGATGTCCCCAGGGCCACACGCTGAGCCAGGGAAGAACTTAAAGGACCTGGTGTCCAGCCCAGTAAAAGCTGATGACTCCTTGATAACACCTTTGGAGCCCTTAAACTTGATTCCAGCCACCAGTTGGGTATGAGTCACTGGTAGACAGCATGGAGAAGAGCAGTTGGGAGAAATGAGGGTCCTTGGTTAGGTTGGTGGACCACAAGGTGATGTCGTCTATCACCATGGATCAGGCTCCACTGAGCAGGACTCATCAGCCAGCTTCCCAGAACCTGACTTGTCTCTACCTTGCTTGAGTCCAGGGATCCCAGGCCATGAGCCTCCTCTTGCTGTATCCCCAGTGGCTCTCAAATATGGTTCCCGCCCCAGCAGCATCCTCATCACCTGGGAACTTATTAGAAATGCCAATTCTTGGGCCCACCCAAGACTAACTGGATTGAAAACTCTGGGGGTGGGGTCTAGCCACCTGTGTTTTAACAAGCATTCCTGGTGATTCGGATACATGCTAACATTAGAGAACTACTACTCTAACCTGCATTACTAGAGTGGAAGAATCGAGGAGTTTCAGTTCTTATCCCAACCAGTCTCGTTAACTGTGAGACTTCAAGCAACCCTCTGATTTGCCACCTATGCCTCAGTTTCCACAGCAAGAAAATGAGGAGTTTGCATTACCCCCCATGTTCCCAGAGTATATCATTCTAGGTTGCAAAGTCATTTGTCAGTCCTTTCCTAAAATACAAATAAGCATGTGACTTTTTTCCCCAAAAAACTTGCCAGGTTTCTACGCGGGGATTCCCCTTTGTGGTTTCCTTTCTACTTGGCAGTTGGTGTAAGTTTTGATGCCAGGCGTGCAGAAGGTCGTTTGGGGGAGAAAGAACTCATACGCACACATGTATACACAACAGAGAGTGATCAGCTTATTCAACTTAGTGACAGTGGCATCTGGGACCAACCCTTAATAACGGCAACTTTTAAACAAACCTTTCCTAGACACAACGTGGGTGAGTTTTTTGTTGTTTGTCTCAAATCTCACATCATTGTTTGTCAATTCAGGAAACCTACACCATGTGCCCACTCTACGCCAGATGCAAACCAGGCACACCTGTGAACTAGATGGATCTACAGGCCAGAGTCCCAAGAGGGTCCTAGTCTCTTGAGTTCCGGACTAGCTTTTCTCTGACCCATACACACCCCCTCTGATTCTTGATTCCATTTCAGTCTTGCCACCCGGGTATCATTTTCCATCCTGTGATCTGGGGGAGGCATCCGCAGGCCTGCAGCTGCACGGTGTGCATTCCTCATCTGTTCATCTGGCAAAACCCTCAGCAGATGTGGGGGTGGGGGGAGGCTGCTCCAGCCGCCGGAGTCAGCGGAGCCCTGGCCTCTTCTCTCTGAGGGGGTCTGTAGGGAAGAATGCAGGGTGAAGAGCCTGCCTGCTGGGGCCTCTTGAGCTCCTCTGGTCCCCGCTGGTCTCGGCCTGGTGCCGAGGGCGCCACGGTGCCTGCAGCCGGGATGCCTCCACGTGCGCTGTAGACTTCAGCACGAGGGAGGTGATGCAGACTTGGGGGGGGGGTTGGGAGCAGGGCAGCATCAACCCAATCTGGGGACCTCCTGGGCCGATCCCGCTCTCCTGAGTGAAACCTGCACATGAATTTGAACCCCAGCATCCTGTCTGTTAAATGAAAGAGGCAGAAGGTTGTTTCATTAACGTGCCAGGGCTCTGATTAATTACCCCTTCTGAAAAAAAGTTTGCTACACCTAGAACTTCCTTGACACTGGTCCCAGCTGTCACATGGCCAGCATTTTCAAGTTCTGTTTAAACATTTAAACCACTGGCTGGAAATCCCATCAAGCGCAGTGCTGTGTAAACTGGAGTATCTTCAGACTCTCGGTACTTGTGTTGCTTTCCCTGGTGGAGGTGATGAGCAGCCCTCAGCACAACGAGATGATGTTTGTGAAAGCACCTTGTAAACTGTAAAGTATTACCAAAGTATTAGTCATCTGCGTCAAGATTGTGAGAAAGAGTGGAAGTCTGCCCTCATTGTTTGCCCCGAACTCCTTCCTTCAGTCTTTAGATCTGTAGTGTTGTGGTGAATAAATATGAGGGAATGACTAATTCTCCATAGCAGGCCAGAGAATTAATTAGGTGCTTGGTTCTCCTATTAATTGAAATAACAAATATCCAAGGAGGAGCATATCTGGGGAATAGGAAATAACAAATATCCAAGGAGGAGCGTATCTGGGGAATAGGATAGATCATGATTTCAGTAGTGAGTATGCAGGCTATGAACTACCTATTGGATTTTATGTGCTTGGTAGACAGAAGACAACACAAGTCTGCAACTCAGAAAAGGAGTGATGATCTAGGTGCAAGTTGAAGCCCTGGGAGTGATGGAGATCATCTGGGAAGAATATGAGATGAAACGGGGATTGAGGAAGGAACGGGGTTCTCAGCCTTGGTTTTGTATCAGAATCAACTATGGAGCTCTTCAAAAAGAAAGCTTCCTAGGCGGCCCCCACTCCCGCCCCAGATCTTCCAAATCAGAATCTCTGGGATGGGGTCCCAAATGGGTGGATTCTGGTGTGCACCGAAGATTGAGGATTGCTGGTGTTTAAAGAATGGGCAGAGGAGGAGGAACCAGGGAAAGAGACAAGAGATAGGTCAGAGGAAGTGGATGAGGACAAAGCAGTCTCACAGAGAACAGGAAAGGAGAAGGTTTAGACCCAAAGAGACCAATAGAGTTGGTCAGTAGGAGGTCACTGGCGACCATATGGGAGGCATTTCAGGGCCATGGCTGAGGAGTTCTAAGGCACTTCCTAGGGCTTGTGTTTCCCTGTGTCCTGAACCTGCTCAGTGTCACTGTCGCCTTCTTCCCTTCGATTCTGGTTACCACGTAGCTCAGCGGTTTGACGGATTATCCTGGGCTTCTTTACTTTCAGATCAAGTGTTCCCTCCCACATGCAACATAGGGAAGAATTTTCTCTCGCTCAATTACCTTGCTGAGTACCTTCAGCCCAAAGCAGCAGAGGGTTGTGTGATATCCAGCCAGCCCCAGGATAAGGAAGTACACATCATTGAGTTAATTACCCCCAACTCTAACCCCTACAGGTAAGTGAGTGTGATTGTGTGTGTGTGTGTGTGTGTGTTTTGAACGGAGAAGAGATGAAAGGGGTGCCTGGATGGTGCAGTCAGTTAAGCGTCCAACTCTTGGTTTCTGTTCAGGTCATGGTCTCCCGGTCATGACATTGAGCCCGTGTAGGACTCCTGGCTCAGCGCAGAGTGTGCTTGAGAGTCTCTCCCTCTCCCCCTACCCCTCCCCCCCTTGCTCTCTCTCCCTTTCTCTCTCTCAAATAAATAAATAAAATCTTAAAAAAGAGAGAGAGAGATGAAATAAAGATCTTTACTGACTTGAGGCAGAGAGAGGTACAACCCTTCCTGCGTAGAAGGTTAGATGCTTTGGGTGAATTAACAAGTTTTGAAAAAGGGAGTGAAGACACCAATGGTATATTTTATTTTCTACACCTGTCTCTAGATCCCCTATATTCTAGATAAGTTTCTGAAGCCTCTTCTGAACTTCTGGGCACTGATATCTCCTTTGAGGTTATCCCTGATAAAAAATAATTATATGCCTTATTAACATAATTATAATTTTAATAGCATTCTGTTTTTAATAAAATTCTGTTCCTAGCATTCTTTTTTTTTTTTTTAAAGATTTTATTTATTTATTTGAGACAGAAACAGAGAGCACGAGAGGGAGGAGGGTCAGAGGGAGAAGCAGACTCCCCGCGGAGCAGGGAGCCCGATGTGGGACTCGATCCCGGGACTCCAGGATCATGACCTGAGCCGAAGGCAGTCGCTTAACCAACTGAGCCACCCAGGCGCCCTCTGTTCCTAGCATTCTAGTAGCATATTTGCACTCATACTTTAAAGCTGTGTGTGTGTGTGTGTGTGTGTAGGTGTGACCCTTCATGGTGACACACCAGAGAGCCATTAGATACAACCTGCCTCTTGCTTGTGTTCTTTTTCTCCTTCTACCCTCAGCTTCTTTCCCCAGGACTAAAAATTTAACTCTCCCCGCCAAAAATGGTTAGGGAATTAAAAAAGAGAATAAAAGAGGACAAGTGGCTCTTTCTCCCACTTTAGCCTGCATTCCTGTGGACTAGTGACTTAAAATGTAAATTTATATTGTAGAGGGATTTCAAAGTTAAAATTCTAATCAAATTTTGCTTTCAAAAGTGAATAAACTACACATCAGTTTTGGGAAGATTCCATTCTGTCCCACATGAAGAATTTTGTGGAAAATTTAAAAGAGAACGGGAATAGAAGAAATCTGGCAAATGTGCTTAGATATTAAGCCTTAGGCTTCATTTGAGTATATCATTCATCATATGCTTTACAAGTGTGTAAAACCAAATGGAAAGAAATACTTTCCTTTAAATTCAGAATGACAGAAATGTTATTGTTTGGTTAAAAAAAATCTCTTTTATACTGAGTTCTTAGAAGTTTGGGTTGTGTTCATCAATTTTCCAGTAATCACTTGGTTGGCCATCTGTTTTCTTTATTTTAATAATTGTATATCCAGAAGTTTGGGAAAGTAAATATAGATATGATTCTGTAGCTAATGTTAATGGCTTAAGCAAACCTTATATAATATAGTCAAATTTTCTAGCCTTTTGCTTATTTTATCTGAAGTGTCCTAGTTTGGTTTTTTGGTTTGTTTGTTTGTTTTGTTTTTATTACCAGGCCTCCCTCCTCCCTGCCACCTTCCTTATTACCAAACTGGCACTTAAATTTCTGGTTTTGAAGGATTTTGAGCATATAGGAAATTGGAAAGTTACACATTGAAGGTGTTGAAGGTTGAAAAGCAACAATTCTGCTTTAAAAGTACACTCCTCTGGTTGCCCAAGTCCATTTCAAACAGTGGATACATTAAGTAACCATCTTTTTTTTTTTCCTAAAGAAGGAGAAAAATTTTAGCGTCCAATTATCAGCAGGCATATTTGTCTATTGTTATGTAAAACCATTTTGTTTTGTGTGCACTAACAATCTGTTTTGCACATGTCATTTGCCTGGGATCAACTCCAGCTTTTTAATCAACTGGCCAGACACTGGAAACATGAAGACTTGGAAGAGAGGAGAGAGTTGCAACTTTCTGGCATTTGGGTCCTAACTTTGCCTTTGTTTTCCATTCACAGTGCTTTCCAGGTGGACATAATAATTGACATAAGACCTTCTCGAAAGGACCTTGAGGTGGTCAAAAATCTCATCCTGATCTTGAAGTGCAAGAAGTCTGTCAACTGGGTGATCAAGTCTTTTGATGTTAAGGGAAACCTGAAAGTTGTTGTAAGTTGGTCGAGCATTTCTTTGTTTTGATGCATGGCAGCAATTTAAGCTGTGCTTATGTGTGTTATTTCTGTGAAGTTTCTGCTTCTCTGAGCTCTCTCTGTTGTTTTTCACTTTGTGAAATAGGCTGCTCCTTGGTTTCTCCTGACAAGGGCAGACAGTGTAGTGGTTAAAAGTGTGGCCTCTGGGGTCAAGATCGAGATTTGAGTCCAGACTCTGCCATTTAAAAACGGTGACCTTGGGCTAGTCCCTTAACCTCTCTGGACCCTGTTGCCTCATTTGTGAAATTCCTGAAGTGTATGAGTGTAGTTTCCAGTCAGAGTAAGTGTAGAATAACGAGCATAATGGGGCCTTTCATGGTTGACAGTCCTGTAAGGGCCTCAGTGTCGTGGTACTGAATATCAGCTCTTACTTTAGGGTGAGGTATTTAGGGAAGGTGTGGAAAATTGCGCTGACCCCAGCTCCTACTGTTGACTTTTCTTTTTGAGATAAGTACATGCTATTGGCGTGTCTTTTTGCTTCTTCTAACTTCTGAGAGAGAAACATTGATAAAAGAATCACAGCAACGGAGAGGTTAGTGAAATGATACAGGAAGAGTACCCCCAGCCTATTCCCTAAACATTATTTTCATGAAGGAAATATACTTAAGAAATTTAATTGGTTGGTGTGATAGGCAAACAGCAGCTAATCTCCTGAAAAGTTGAATGTTGAAATTTAGTAAAATAAATTTTTTTTAAAGATTTATTTATTTATTTGAGAGAGAGAGTGGGGGAAAGGTCAGAAGGAGAGGGAGAGAGAATCTCAAGCAGACTCCGTATTAAGTGTGGAGCCTGACGCGGGGCTCGATCCCACAACCCCAAGATCATGACCTGAGCTGAAACTAAGAGTCGGACACTTAACCGACTGCACCACCCAGGTGCCCCAAAATAAATCTTTTTCAAATATGTTTAGGAAGATAACTGTTTGACAGAGTGTTGCACAAATTACATTGAAAGTTAAAGGAAAACTCCCCCTCTTCATTTTTAAGAATATAACTATCTTAGAATCTCTTTCGTAGATTTCAATTCTTGTGCATTGTCTTTTTAAAAAATTGTGTCTGATTCCTTTTTCAGTACCTGCATTGTATCAGTTGGAGAGGATTTTATGTTTTCAGTATTTGGCGGGGGAGGGCTGCCTTTGGTTTGGGTGTTATCTGTCCTTCAGTGTGATACAGCAGTGAACAAAGCCGGTGCTCCCCTAGGTACCATCGTGCACGAGCATCACCAGAGGCAGCAGGCAAAGCCACGAGCATACACATCTTAATTTTAAAGTAATCGTTTCTGGTTCCTGTGGGTTTTTTTTTTTTTTTAAACTTTGAGAGGATCCAAATAAACCATCGTGTGTAAGGGTGATCCGTTAATTTGGTGTCGAGAACAAAGCCCAGCCGTGATTTTCTGAAGTCAGAGCTGTTTTGATTGCTTTCCCTGGCATGGCATGAGGGGTGTTGGTGACCTGGGGTGTCTACAGCATTTGCTGCCTGGCACACCAACCAAATGTTTTTAATTTTCAGAATAACAAAAACAGGAAAGGGAATCATGCTTTGAAAGGCAAAAACATACGGTACATTTTAATTCCCTGCTGGAGTTGTGTAAATGTTCTTTCGGCCCTGACCCTTCAGTGGCTCTTTCTGTACCTGAGCATGTGTTCCTGGAGTTCGCTGTGAATGCCTTCACTTTTCATATGAATAAGAAAGGCTAGAAATGAGATTGCTCATCCCAGTGCAAGATCTGTTTATATTCATTCCCCTCTTTGGCTGTACTCGTGTTCCAGGCCAATTTTGGACAATGCATGACAACATTACTAAACAATTAGGTAATGTTGCATGATGTTCTTTTTTATTCTCCCAATCCGTTTCATGCTTTGTGATTTCCTAACTCCCAGTCTCAGATGTGAATTCTGCCTGTGCTGTGAGGGGAAGGTCCCTGCTACCAAAAAAACATACAGTCATGCTTAGAAAGGGGATAGGGTTTATAATGGCCTTGTTCATAGTATTTTCTTCAGAGACAGCCTGGTAGAGTGGCAAGAACCATGGCTTTGGAGCCTGACAGGGCTGGAATCAAATCCCATTTCTGATTGTCATTCCTCTTAGTTGGTAGAGGAATGGCAATCCTTAGTTGATAGTCTGTAGCCTTACCTACGAAACGGGTATGATGATAGTACTCACCTCGAGAGTTCTTGGTGAGGTATGGTTGAGTTCATTCATTCCTTCATTCATTTACCTGTTCAACAAACATTTGTCAGGTGCCTACTGGGTATTTCGTCTAAAGCACTTGCCACACTGGGTGTACATGGTGGGTTCTCCACCATATGTGCTATTTCTGTGCATCTCAGGGTTCCCCTCTCTAATCAGGGAATAAGAATGCCCATCTCCTTATATTTTACAGGAGAATTAAAGAACATATGTAAAGCTTCTAGCACAATGCTTGCCATAAAAAGGGAGTTCATCTTCCTTCCACAAGCAATTTTTCAAAAATTTGTCTATAAGAGCAACTTCTCTAAACAAAGTGAAAAACAAAATGTCTACTAAAAGAATTATAAGGAACTTGATGGGGTCAATGTAAAGAAGAGCCCCATTAAACATGAATGGCATGTGTGTGCTTGTAGGGGGTGGGGCATAGGGCAGAATGCACCCTCCAAATGACAGAACGGTCCAAAGAGATGCAAAGGGCAGGACTGTGGACAAGAACGGGAATACTGGAAGCATCCACAGTGCCCAGCTCTGGCTCTTTCTTCAGGCCCCTTATGGACCATGCGTAATCACATTTTGGAAGAACCTCCAAAACAAAAGAATAGATGGAGGAAACTTACTAGAAATTTTTTGTTATACTATTTCAGATGGCCTTAGCACTTCAAAGTTGATGATAGGCAGCTTGTTCTTAGAAAAGACATGTTTTAATCCCAGTGGGAATATGCATTACATCTCTGACCAACCTCTCCCCCTCCACCATCGATTCTGATGCAAGTGTGTGTTTGGCAGTGGAGGGGAAGGAAGGAGGGAGGGAGGTGCTTGGACTCTACCTAGCTCACCATCCTTCACAAAGATGTGGCTGAAACATAGTGGTGATATTTGGAGGACCCCCTCCCCGGGAAAACTCCCATTTGGAGTAGCTACACTGAAGCCTTGGAAAAGCCTGGGGACTCCCAGAAATACAGGGTGAGGAATTCGCTCATTGCTGGGAAGGAACCAACTTGCCAAGCCTTGCTGTTTTACAAATGTGTAGTAGATAGATTTCTAGCTTTGTAAGTCCTGAGGCGTAATCAATATGAGTTGTACTGACAGCTCCTAGATTTAATGTGGAAAGGTGTAAACAAATCATTCCATACTGGTACAAAAAAGACAGGTGGCAGTTGTGATGATAGTATTCTGGAAATACAGTATTTTCTCAGCTGTCCAACAACATGAAAGACTAGGGCAGATGAGGCCAAGCAGTCCTGTTTAGGCCAGTGTTGCAAGTCCAGCCAACCAAAACGACATGCTGCTTTGAAAGGCTAGAAGCTGCGCCTAAGAAACTAAGTTTTAAGAACGAATTGGATCCTTCTTCACTTCACTTTAGTTTAGTTTTTTTTTTTTTTTAAGTTTTTTTTTTTTTTTTAAAGATTTTATTTATTTGACAGAGAGAGAGAGCGACAGCAGGAACAGAAGCAGGGGGAGTGGGAGAGGGAGAAGCAGGCTTCCCGCCGAGCAGGGAGCCCGATGTGGGACTCGATCCCAGGACCCTGGGACCATGACCTGAGCCGAAGGCAGACGCTTAACGACTGAGCCACCCAGGCGCCCAGTTTTTTTTTTTTTTTTTTTTTTTAACCCTTCCTTCCCCCAAGGCGTTTTCTCTGAATCAAAGTAAGAGCTAGAAGATTCCAAACCTGTGAAACTGAGTTTTTCACAAATGGCTGCGAAGCATGGTTCCTTCGCATGCATGATTGTGACTGGCCAGTCACACAGCTTCGGAGAAGCACTTTGGGTAACAGAAAAATACCCTGGGGGAGAGCCTTTGAGCTTTGAATTGAAAATATGTGTCCTCAGCCAATATCCCACAACCAAAGAGGCCAAGAGAACTTAGAGCCTGTGAATCTTCTATGGTTTTGGAGTGGGAAAGGATTAATATTTAGTCCTGTTAGGGGCAAATAGAATGGGAAACAAATGGGGAATTTGGGAAAAAATGCTGCATGTATGCAGGAGAAAATAATTGGGCATGGAAATTAAAGTGATCTTTATAGGGCATGAAAATGGTCTGATCTGCATGCCAGCAGGGCTTGCCAGCCTTGTTGGAGCACTTGTTGGAAAGGTGGTGCCTTGGGTTTGGCACCTCCCCTGCAGCATTCAGCTCCCTCGCATCCGACAAGATCACTGCCCTAAGAGCCAGGTGATGTGGAAATTGACCATCCATGTCTTGGTTACTCAGTCCTTTCTTGGAAGGATTTCTGTCGTTCACTATTAATTTTGTACTAATTACCAAGTGAAAGTCAACTTGTATTGCTGGATGAAATACTGGTTAGAGAGACAATAACCCAAATTAAGGAATTAATATTTAAAAGACAAAATCTAAGCATATTGAGTTAATAAACTTGACAAATGAGTACAGTGACAGGATCACTAAATTGATCATAAATTATAACTGAAATATCAGTGCTGGTTATTTCACCATATGGAATTTAATAGTTTACAAAGATGAGACGGTCTCCACAGTGAGGTAACTAGGTTGTGCCTTCTTTCATTTAAATCTAGGGTACCGGAGATAGAAGCAGGGACATATTTTTGGCAGGATAACATGCACATCTGTATATTTTATACATCATTTTAAGTAAAAATAAGGGAAAGTTTGATATGTATGCGTATATAATTTAAACATTAAACTAACTCTAGTAACATACTAGGTATACTTAGTATGTAGCTACTTAGTGATCATTGGGTTATTTTTATCAATATAAGCAACCCAAATGGTATGATCAAACAGCATGAATAGATTTCTCTTAATCTGCTATTAAAGATTTTCATGTCAGTGTCCTTAGTCCAAGGAAAATAGGGATCAAAAGAATAAATAGTTCCTTCATCTACAATATGTGGAATCTGTTTGTTTCAGATATTCAATTCTTATTTAAAGCACTGTTTAGTTTTAGACTCATGAGTGAAATTTTGCTGTGATCTTTAGGCTCCTAACAGTATTGGCTTTGGGAAAGAGAGTGAAAGATCCATGATAATGACCAAATCAATAAGAGATGACATTCCTTCAACCCAAGAGAATCTGGTCAAGTGGGCTTTGGACAACGGCTATAGTCCAGTAACATCATATACAGTGGCTCCTGTGGCTAATAGATTCCATCTTCAGCTTGAAAACAATGGTAAGTGTTTTTTGTTTTTTTTTTCCTCAAGTAAAAATAATCCACCAGATGAGGCTTTCCAATGAGGAACTCTCATTTCAGCTTATATGGTGCTGTTGTTCTGTTGTAAACTTTGATGATTCATTTGACTACATTTTACTATAAAGCTTAAGGTTATCTAGAATTGTGATCGATTATTTTGAGGAAATGGTCTTTTTCGTACAGATTTTTCACTAACAGAGTTGATTGCATGTTGGAGAACTTCGTTGTAGATCACATAATTCACTGTGATTACATTAGGAGCTAATCAGCCTGGGTTCTTCTCTCAGAAGTGCCTACTAATCACTTACAGCTGAGGTACCGCTGCTCCTACTACAGGGGAGAAGTCCTAGGTCAGACTGTAGTCTTGCAGGACGGTCGTCACCAGGCACTTTCTCGATCTCACCCAGAGGGAACACAGGAGTTCTTACCCCAATTGGATGGAGCAGAAAATTGAATATTAACAGGTTCTTGAGGTTTTTCCAGAACCTCATAGCTAGCGAGACTCAAATCCCAAGTTTTCTGATCCCCAGACCTGTTCCTTACCCCAGTCGTACTGCTACCAAGTGTGAGTAAGGGCCATTTATTCACCGTTTCAGGGGGAAGTTGCTTAACCTCTGAGCCTCAGGTTCCTCCTCAGTATTATGGGAGAAAAAATAGGCCCTACCTCAAAGAGTTTTGTGAAGGTTTCTGTCAACGTACAAATTAAAAACCTTCCAAAGCTCTGATTTCTTTTGGATCCGTATGGCTGTGCCATCTTTTTCCAAAAGATAGTATTGAAGGAGAGTTCATGTCCTCTGGTTATCTTCACTTCCTGCTCCCACTGAGGTAGACTGACCTCAGGCATTGGCTTTGAGACTGGATATGGACAACACTGGGAAAATTTTTCTTCCCTAAATTGTTGAAAATAGGACAGAACACTGAGCATTAATTATATGCAGATATGTCTCTCCCTTTGAAGGAATAAGTGTGCCTAAGCAGCTTTCTCTTTTCAGGACTAGGTTCTAAAAGGCCAGGATGCCTAGATAGCTGTTGGAATTTAGTAGGCAGAAAGGAGATAGCAAATAGTTTTAAAATGCCAATATTGTTTCAAGAATTCCTTAGAGAAATTATGCTAAAGAATCTCTAGATTCAAGGGAGGTATTTCAGTGGCCCAATAATATCTTGGGACAATAATGTTCTTATTCAAATCATAGATTTGTATAGCTTGTAGAGCCTTAGAAGTTATCTAGTCCAATGGTTCTCAACCTTGGGTGTACATTGGAACCATACAGAGAGCTTTAAACATATTAATGATTAGGTCCCACTCCAGAGAGTCTGATTTTTATTTGACCTGGGGTACAGCCTGGGTATAGGGAATTTTTTTCAGTTCCCCAAATGATTTTAATGTGCAGCCAAAGTAGAGAACTATTGATCTAATCCAACCTCAATTATAAAAATTAGAAAACCAAGACACAGAGAAATAAGCCATTGGCCCCAAGCCATTCAGTCAGTTAGAAAGAACATCAGGACTAGAATTCAAGCTTCCAGATCCCCATCTCTTTTACCCATTGCTTGTGAAGAGTCATTTTACACATGCCCATTCTGTGCTAGTTCCCCTTGTTCCTCCTTCTAATGATGATGATGATTGTGGCCTGGCACCAAACACTGATGATGTTTCGCCTTCTTCTGTCACCACCAGAGGAAATGAGAGATGAGGAAGTCCATACCATCCCTCCTGAGCTACGGATCTTGCTGGACCCTGTCCCCCTGCCTGCCCTGGAGAACCCACCCATCCGAGGAGGCGGAGGCCGAAATGGAGGTTTCCCCTTTCCTTTCCCCGACATCTCCAGGAGAGGCCAGAAGGAAGGAGGAGAAGATGGGATCCCCCGGCCAAAGACCCCGGTCATCCCCAGCATACAACTGTTTCCTGATCCCACAGAGCCCGAGGAGGTGCAAGGGAACATGGAGGTTGCCCTGTCAGTCAGATGTGATGATGAGAAGATGATCGTGGCTGTGGAAAAAGATTCTTTTCAGGTCAGTGCAATTTCTTAGAGAAGAGAAAGCCACCTCCTTTCCCCTCTTGCGCCAGTGTGTGTTAGTTATTTCCTTCTCATTCTTTCACTTTTGAACTCTGGGGACTTGATACTGTTTTCTCAGTTGGATGGACTCACTTCCCCTTGGCTGGGAGTCTCACTCAGGTCCTGTTGTTCTCAGTTGAGGGGGTCCAGATCCTCATGTGTCAATATTTTGGTATTGAATTTCCAAGGCCAACAAATACAATCCTTGGTAGGTTGGGAGGAGGCGAGCAGGGAGGGGAAATGCAGGCCTCCAGCAACCAATACTGTATGGGAGGACCGGGCAAAACGTGCTCCCCGTGTGCTGCAGACCTGCCTGTGGGCCCCCCCTTTACGTCTTCGGTGGTTGTTGTTTCAGGCCAACAGCTACTCAGGGATGGAGCTCACCCTGTTGGATCCTACCTGCAAGGCCAAGATGAATGGCACCCACTTCATTTTGGAGTCTCCCCTGAATGGCTGTGGTACTCGTCACCGGCGGTCAGCCCCAGATGGTGTGGTTTACTATAATTCCGTGAGTGTTCTCCAAAACAAAGCTTGGCCCTTTGCCACAGCCTTGCCGTGTGTTACCTTAAAATTAGCCTTAAAGTTTCTATGACCATGAGCAGGGGCATGTACTCCAGGCCTAAACAAAGCCAAGCGTCAGTTCTCAACAAAATGGGATGTACTTTGACCCTGAGTCTACACAACTGAGCTAACCAGCTACGTGGTCTCTGTGGCATCATTTGAGTTTTGTCCAGAGATGGGAGGACTTCTCCTTTCCTCATGAACAAAAGAACCAAGAGAAATCCGAAAACAGCTCTCAAGAAATTATTATTAAGTCTCTCTCCACCTCTGAGAAAGATCCTACATTGAAGCAAATCAGGAGATTTGCTACTTTTGACGTTACCCAAAGCGAGATTACATAGATTCCCCCAATGATAACCCACTGCAATAGCTAACCTACACTTTTCAGAAATCCTCTTGTCAGCTCATTCATCTAAATCTTTTTTCTTCAGATTAAGCCAATTCTTGCAGAAATACACACTAGGCAGTGAATATTAAAATAATTTGAAACATGAAATTTCACAAGTACTTTATAGTGTTAATTTTGCAGTTCAGGTTATACTTTTGATGGTAAAAATAAGGCTCATAAATCCCCGAGTTCAGCTTTGGCATGGGACAGGGTGGGTGGGACTGTCATTCATGTCCGTCCCACTGCCCTTCAGTAGATACACTTGACCCATCCAGAAGAAAGACTGGAGATCAGGTGCTCTGTCAGGGTGGCTCACGTGGGCTCTGACTCTCCTATGGACCCAAGTTTATTATTCTTCAGACTTAGAGTGTTTGAGCTGGAAAGAACCTTCAGATGATCTCATTCAACTTCCTCATTTCACAGGTGAGGAAATTGAACTCCCGGGAATTAAGAGTCTTGCTTAGATTTGAGGAACTAGTTAACGGCAGAGCCAGGACTGAATCCAGCTTCCTGACCTCTCATCCACTAATCTTTCCCTGACACCAGGCTGGCCCAGCTAATCTCTCTTTGTTACTGGAATAATTTATTAACCTTTGACCTCTATGATGAACACCCTCCTGCCAATTCCAACACTAAATTTTCTTACATTATCCAGTTTTTCCAGGTATAATGAATGGCATATATTACTGATATACTTGATTTTGGAATTTTAAGTTTATGACTAAATTAACACCAATACGAGGCTATGGTAATCTGTTAAGTAAAACACACACACACACAAACAAAAAAATATGCCTCAGAAGAGAAAGGTATATCTTAAGCCTTTAAAATCCCTTTCTTCTCATGGGTGTGTATGTGTGTGTGTGTGTGTGTATTATGATGATGATACATAGGGTAAGCAATGTCCTGGGTACTTGGCTTCAATTCCATCAATACTTCTTTCTGTGGAACTGGTAAAGAATGGAGAAGTGGTTTTCCTATATTCTCTTCCCATGCTGTTCCCTTCAGTGAATATTGTAGCTGTTCCAATTATAATTGTAGCAATTTTCTGAATTATTACATATTTTTGTTTTGCACCATATTCAAAAATCTAAGCCCATGAAATAAAACCAAACAAAAAATGTGACTATTCTATAAATGCAAAGAAATTAAGATTTTATTTATAGAGTCATGGTCCTCAGGTGGATTTTTTTTTTTTTTAAAGATTTTATTTATTTATTTGACAGAGAGAGACACAGTGAGAGAGGGAACACAAGCAGGGGGAGTGGGAGAGGGAGAAGCAGGCTTCCCACGGAGCAGGGAGCCCGATGCGGGGCTCGATCCCAGGACCCTGGGATCATGACCCCTCAGGTGGATTTTACATGTTATCTAGAACTAACCTAGGAATAGTCATTTCAACTAACATTAAGATAGATTGTCATAGATAAAAACATGATTCTTTCCTGCATCTGTACACCATACACAAAGATATGGAGGAGGAAATGAGGAAAAGATAGAGGAGTACAGAGAAAAGATGAGGAGACTAGCTCAATAGTAAACATTAGGTACTTAGTTTCCAACTCACGCTTTATACAAATCTTGATGGGTACAAATAAGAAAAGCTCTTCGAATTAGCCTGCTCTTAGTATTTGTTAGAATTTTTGATGTAAAGAGAAGCCCCTCCCTCCCCTCCAGTGTAGACTGGCCTACTGACAACCCCGTTCAGCCCTGTTTCAGTGCCTGGTTTTTTCCCACTGTTTGAAACAAGTCTTACTTTTTTCACAAGGAAAAATGCGTATTTTAGTTCAAGTCTTAATTTGAACGAATGTTGGGTTTCTCTTTATTTTTAATCTCTTTGAAGGTAAAATCCTAAGAAAACTTGGAGTTTTGGGGTTTTTTTAAGTTCAGATTTTCGGTTTGCATCTGAATTATTACATGGGTGTCTGTGTGAGGTAGAACCAAATCCTGTGATTTGGTGTCGTAACCACACTGTGCTTTCTTTGCCCTTTAGATTGTGATACAGGTTCCGTCACCTGGAGATAGTAGTGGCTGGCCAGATGGTTACGAAGATCTGGAGTCAGGCGATAATGGATTTCCAGGAGATATGGACGAAGGCGATACCTCCTTCTTCAGCCGACCTGAAATTGTGGTGGTACGTGTTCGTTTGCAGCAGGTAGTTTGTGAGAATGTTGTCTTTTTGGTTGGCTTTAGTTAGGGACTATTGGGTGGGGCAGGGAGGGGGAAATGGATGTTAAAGACCAAAGCTTACAGAGTTCCAGGGTCTTCATCCTTCATTTGACTGGGATTTATCTCTGTTTTGTTTGTCTGTTTGTTTTCCCCAGTTTAATTGCAGCCTGCGGCAGGTGGGGAATCCCAATAGCTTCCAGGACCCACCCAACAGAAACATCACTTTCAACATGGAGCTGTACAACACTGACCTCTTTCTCGTGCCCTCTCAGGGGGTCTTCTCCGTGGCAGAGAATGGACACATTTATGTTGAGGTATGAGACCTGGACATTAGCCTTGGGTTTTTAGGTTAGGGCAGAATTGTCGTAGCTCCTGGGGCAGAGCCAAGGTGCCTGCCCCAGAAGACCTCATCATGCTCTTCCCTGCGGCCCTTAACCAGCTCTCCGTGAGGGCTTGGCTCAGAAAATGCATCCAGGTTGATTTCTGACCAAAGTAAGACATTGCAGGATTTGCTACATGGGGAGAGCGTTTTACAGATGAATGCTTTTTTAAAAACTGGTGGTGTGATGGGGCACCTGGGTGGCTCAGTTGGTTAAGCGTCTGCCTTTGGCCCGGGTCATGATCCCAGGGTCCTGTGATAGAGCCCTGCATCAAGCTCCCTGCTCAGCGGGGAGCCTGCTTCTCTCTCTCCCTCTGCCTGTAGCTCCCCCAACTTGTGCTCTCTCTCTCTCTGTGTCAAATAAATAAATAAAATAAAATAAAATAAATCAGTGGTGTGAATTCTACTAATAAAGCCCCGTTCTTGCTTGTCATTAGCATTTTTGGAACAGGGGTTCAGTAGTAGAACACACTTTAGTGAAATGCTGCATGCTACCCTATCTCATGAAAATTAAGGTTTTTTTAGATCATTATCTAAATGTGTTAAGCTGTTCCATATATGTAATGGTAATGATTATGCATAGCCTAAGTCTGTGGAATAACTATAAAAATATTAGGTAGTGGTAGTAAGAATGAAGTAATAACAGCTAATATTTGTTGCAGATTTATTTTGTGCCAAACTTGGTTATAATTATTGTAGTAATTTACTCTTCAAAGCAGTCCGATGAGATAAGACTATTGATATCCCCATTTTAGGGGTTAGGAAATTGAGGCACAAACTTGTCTAAGGTCAGACACTAACTAGTGGAGTTCAGAGTAGGGTCCATACTCAGGTTGTCTGGCTCAAGAGCCCACTCGATGCTATCATTTATCCTCAAAGTGCCATTTAAAGAGGAGAAAATGTGACCACTTAGCAGTGCAAATATCCAGGTTTAGATTAGATTCTAGGATATCTGCTGGTCTTACAGGAACATCATCCTCTCCTGAGCTAGTTTTGGGGCTAAACTGCAAGCTGGTATTCTACTTTACTGTGCAAGGAGTGAGAAGCTTACGGGGTCGAAATGGGATACTTCCATACGTTGAAAGTGACTTCAGAGCACATATTTCTGTTTCAGAAAGATAAATAACTCTCACATTTGTTCAGATTCTGGGATAGAGCCCACTGGCTCTAGACATTTTCCTGGATCTCTCCTCTTTTTTGATTCCCTGTTTTGAGAGGTCTTCTCTTTCTTTGGGTATACCTTCTTTCTCCACTGGGGAAAATATACTGCTTTCTACATGCTGTTCCTAATTTATAGATCTCTTCTTATCCAAGAGCATTATTTTCTTCTTTCATTTCTGGCTGCACCATCCACCTGTGTGCATTTGGGCAGTGACTCTCTGTCATGCCCTGGGTTTTAGGGGCCCTGCTTAACTGCAGTTTGTTCTTTTCCAAATGTGTACCTGGCTCTGCTAATTTATGGCTTTGCTGCTCTATGCTAATCACTGGCCAGTCTTCCTCCTGTATCCTACCCTGGGAGTTTTGGTTTATCTTCCCAGTCCACCCAGTGCTGCTTACTTGAAATTCTTTTTTTCCCTTATTTTCACATTTATATCTTTTCATATATCATCTGTATTTTTCATAGTTAAATTTAGTCAAAGACATTGTGAAATGATGAAAAAGAAATGGACTGAATCTATTTGCTACCATTTTATTTATTTATTTATTTATTTATTTATAAAGATTTTATTTATTTGACAGAGAGACACAGCGAGAGAGGGAACACAAGCAGGGGGAGTGGGGAGAGGGAGAAGCGGGCTTCCCGCCAAGCAGAGAGCCCGATGATGCGGGGCTCGATCCCAGGACCCTAGGACCATGACCTGAGTGGAAGGCAGACGCTTAACGACTGAGCCACCCAGGCGCCCCTATTTGCTACCATTTTAAATATCAGGTGTACTGAGAGTTTGAAGAGGGTGGTATATGTTTTAAACAGCTTTATTTTAAAGTTGTTTAAAACCACCTAAAATAGAGAATCTGTAAATATTTTGCAAAATAAAATAGCAGCCACACCTAATCTTTGTTTCTGTTTGGACTCCAATGCTGGTAAGAAAATTTTTTTATTTAAGGTAAGTAAAACTCACTGAATCATTGGTTTGGTCTAGAGAACTATTTCCAAGTTTCTTCTCCCAGCCATCCTATCACACCCCCAGAATCCTGTTCCAAGACATTATTGATTTTGCCACCTGGTCTTTGGTCATCTCTGGGTGATAGTTGGTCACATCATGGCAGCTTTTCTGTTAGTTCATTTGTCTTGGGGCATTAAAAAGAACTGTTTATAACCCCCCAAATTTAAATCTAGAATAGTACTGCTAATTACAGCTGTCATGTATTGACTAGCTGGGAACTATGTTGTTTGCGTGTAATTGTGACTTTACAGATCCTCACAGTAATTGTTTCTAGTTGGTATTGGTGCCCTTCTTCTGTATGGGAGGAAACTGAGGCTCAGAGTTCACCGGGCATGAGCCACATAATTTCCTGAGGCTTGTCTCCCTCTGAGACCTGTAGTCCTTCTACTACTCATTTCCAGGCCATTTTATTTTTTTACAAGATTTATTTATTTATCTGAGTGCGGGAGAGGCAGAGAAACAGGGAAGAGAATCCAAGCAGACTCCACGCTCAGTGCAGAATCCGATGCAAGGTTCGATCTCACGACCTGAACCGAAACCAAAAGGCAGCCACTTAACTGACTGTGCCCACCCTCCCCGCCCAGGGCATTTTAGACTAAAGGACTTGCTGATAATATTTTTTCCTCTAAAACAACTTTTTGGGATACCTTAGAGTTTCTACTATTACATGCTTTTTTTGAGATTCGAGAAAAGATTTACATTTCTTCTTCTGTCTACATGTTTGCATTGTGGGTTCTGAGGTCATGTTAAAGGGTACTTTTTAGTAATAGGATATATGTAATTTGCCATCTTTCCGAGATAAAATATCTTATTTTTCAGAAATATTGGCAAAATAATGATGTGTGAATATTTGCAGACTCCCAAACACTACTTCCTAGAAAGATTTCCCACCAGGTGTTCTCCCAAAGCCACATCGTGGGTTTGGTTGAATCAACCCTGTGGCTACAGTGAAATAGTAAAGAGAAAATGGGCTTGAAGTTGGAAGACTTGGGTTTAAGGCTTGGTTTTATCCAGTGCTTCCCAGGTAGGATTTTGAACAAGTCGTCTATCCTGTATGTTCATTTTTTCCTCCAAAATGGAGATGAAACTATTTATCTCACCATCAGAGGGATTGAACTTTAAAGCACTACAGTGACATAATGACAATCACCTTCATTGCTGAGTGTCTTGGAGTTACCACGGAGGGATCTTTCAAAATAGTGCTGTGTCCTCAGAGCCCCATGCAGTGTCAGGGGTTTCCCCTGGGTTCTCAGGATGGAAAGTGTGTTTATATCTCCACGCCTTTTGAAAGGCTTCTGGGGCTATTGGCTTATGGTTAAGGACTAACTTTATTTCTAAAGTGTTTAAGTTTATTTTGATCCTAAGTTTAGGCAGGGAATGAAGCATGAGGGGAAAGGCAGTTCACGCAGCGATCCATGTGTCACCAAATGGAGAATCCACTCTGGTCTGGGAATTTTAGCTGAGTTCAGGAGAGTTGAGGTTTGAATTCTGTTTATACTTGGCCAAACACCACTTCCTGTTTCTAAAGAAAAGAACCTTAGCAAGGTTTGGACAGAGCCCATACGAATGTTTTGTAAGAGGGAAGTATAATGAGTTGGAAACATTTCCAGATTAGATTTCCCTTAAAATACCCTTGGGCTTAAAGAGTGAAGGGAGAGTACTTGGCAAGGCCTGGTTTGGACCTGTGAGCAGCTAGGACACTTTGCCAGGCTTGTGATCGCCACCAGATTGCACGGTCCCGGACACCAAAGCCCATAGGCCGGCTCTGCCTGCTTGCTATGAAGCAGGACTTGAGATGAATCTGCAGTTTTACTGCAAGGTTTTAGGCTCATTATGACTTGTGGCAGTTTAGAAGTTCAGTCCTCTCTGCCTAGGTTAAATAGATTCTGCCTCTGTACTTTATTTTTCGAGCAGCTTTGAAAAATAGCTTGCTTTACAGGTGGTACCCTATTGAGACATGACACAGTATTATGACATTAGGTGCTTTGCCTGTTGGTGCTTTGTTTATTTTGGAAATCCACTTTAGGTGCATGCTATGCTTTTATTTTTATCTCCCAGAGGACTTATGGGAGGTTGAAGAGACTTAATTCATCTTGTATTGGAATCTTCCAGACTGGCATTTGAACTAAATAATTCACTGTCATCATCCATACCAAATTTAGATGGAAAACATCTTTTTTCAATGAGTATATATTACTTTTGTAATTAGAAAGAAGACTATTATGTTATGAAAATAAAGCAGTGTCCCTCATCAGAAGCCCCGTGTTGACATGTTACCCTCGTGCCTAAAGTAAAAGTGAGATGCCAACTTGGATCTCATTGCTCTTTCTGTTCTTTTGTAGGTATCTGTTACTAAGGCTGACCAAGAATTGGGATTTGCCATCCAAACGTGCTTTATCTCTCCATATTCAAACCCTGATAGGATGTCTGATTACACCATCATTGAAAACATTTGTCCTAAAGACGAATCTGTGAAATTTTACAATCCCAAGAGGGTGCACTTTCCTATCCCACAAGCTGAGATGGACAAGAAGCGATTCAGCTTTGTGTTTAAGTCCATTTTCAACACCTCACTGCTCTTTCTACAATGTGAGCTCACGTTGTGCACCAAGAAGGAAAAAGACCCCCAGAAGTTACCTAAGGTTAGCGGGCCTTCATCCATCTCTGTGTTATTTCGACATTTTTAGGTGAGGCAATGACCTACCGGAGAAGTTTAATCACGAGTTATTGCAGGTTGAGGTTTTTGGTTTGGGAACTGCCCAATTGAAGTAATAAAATCTGTGTTAGCAGGGAACCGTGAGTTTTATGGAGTCTTAGAGAATAAATCCTGACAGTATGACTTTTTTTTTCCATGCATGCTACTTAGTAGTATCTCACAAATGATAAATCAAGACTGTTTTCCATTGAGGGAGAGGTCTGGCTTTATCTTTGCAATTCAGATAGTGTGCGGTGCCAAAAGTACAGAGAGCCGAAAGGACAAGTTCAGTGTGAGGATTAATTTTTCCAGGTCCCGCTGAGACTTGCGTTGCAATTGTTTTTTGACCTTCTCTGTGTGAATTATAAGGTTGACTTGTCTCAGGAGGACTTCTAAGGGAAACTAACAAGTATTTTAATTTTCTCAGCTTCATATTTGTTCACCATGTTTGCCTCATATCCCTCCCCATATTGAACCCAGTACATTCTGTTGCCACAACAGAAATCAGAACACTTTGACCTTGTTGGAATGGCCGTGTAAGGGGAAATCTGCAAGGTTGATGACGATACCTCATTAGTTGACCTTGTGCAAGAAAGGTGTCTTCTGCCATAGTTTTGTTTCTGTGATCTGCCATGATTTTTTATAATTCCGTATGGGCACTTCTTCTGTAATTATCTCATACAGTGTCAGCTGACTTACAAAACTTTTGTAGTCACATATCAGTCAGTGTCTAAAACTAATGATTGAGCAGTATCAATAAATGTATGTGTGGAATTCTCTCTTAATATATAGGTTGTAAGATAGAGGTACAGAGGGAGGAGGAAAAATTACATTATTGGATAGATTACCACTGATCTGAATGCTTTACACTGTTATATTCCCCTGGGCATCCATTCCTCTGACAACACCAAAGAAAATTTTATACTACATATGACAGTGTAGCAAATCTGATCATAATCCTTTGGGAGCATGAATGTATAAGATGATTTAGATTATGTTCTTTAGGTTGCTTTTGGAAACATTGATGCCTTAACCTTGTGGACATTCGCCTTCCAGGGACCACCAGTGGACTGTGGTAGAGTCATGGGGAAGCTGAATGCTTGGCTGTGAGACACAGCTGCTCCCTGCAGCCAGAGGATGACTTTTAGGAGCTAGAGAACTAGGAGGGGAGGCCTGGCAGTTACTAGGGGTCTTTACTGTTGGCTTGTTTTTTTTGTTGTTGTTTTTTTTTTTTTTTGGTGGCTTGGTTGTTATCTGTCTCTGAGCCTGGCCTAGCACCATCCGTAGCATGTTAGTGTGTGAATATTAATCCTAATATTTCCCTCCATAACATTCTATGGAGAGCTCTAAGTCCCAGTGGATGACATAGGATGTGAAGTCCCTATTTACACCCAAGGCACGAGAAACTGGAAAGGGCATGAGGACTGAGAAGGAAGGCCTTCTGCTTACTAACAAGACTTGAAGCAAGTCCCCTGACCTCTCAGAATATGCATGGCTTCATCTGGAAGAGTGAAATAATAGTACCTGGCTTCCCTCGGGAGCAGAGAACAAAGGAGACAGTAGATTTGACAACAGTCTGCCATTTATAGAGCAGTGGCTTCAGATGAGCTGTTACCACTGTCTTTGTGTTTACTGCTTGTAGTTAATATTTCCACAGTTCTAGTGACTTCTCAGATGATAACACAGAGCCAAAGAATCTTCTTAGGAGGAGTTCTCAAAGATCGCTGAGTCCAGCCCGGCCCTTAGCTGATGAAACTAAGGCTGGAGTTGAGTATCTTGTCCAGGGTCGAGCTGTGAGTTGGACGTATAATCGTGGACCCTTACTTAACTGAAGAACTGATAGCACAGTAAGAAGGCTTTTCCTAAAATGCAAATCTTTTCAATAATGAGGCCTTTCTACAGACAATCTGTTGTTTCCCTGTGCAAGACGCTTGTTGTAAAGGCCTTTCTCTGGGCTTTGAGGGAGAGGAAGTTGTCTTCTTATAATACATTGCTCAGAGCAGCAATGACAATAAAGCCAAAAGACTTTGCTCTTTTGTGATTTGAAATTTATTAGCTTTGGGGAATGGCTTGCTGTAGGCTTTTTAAAGGATAGATCTATTTCTTAACAACAAAAGCAAGTAGATGTCATTTACATTAGAGTTTCACCTATTGATGAGCATAGACAAGGAACTAAAGTTATTTTAAAGAAAAAGGTACTGGAGTGTGATCATACTTTTTAAAAACAGGTATACCGAGCTTGGGCATGCTAATTCTAAGTTTGGGGCCTGAAAATAACTGGAAACAACTGTTCTCATGGTCCCCACAGGTGGGTACAATTCCCCAGGGCTCCAGTTTGGAACGCTGTAGCAGACGACCCTGGAAAGCGTCATTTTGAATGAGCCTATACCAGGATTTAAAAAATCAAACAAACTGGACAACATGATTATCTTTTTGGACAACAAATGTAAAATCTGTCACTTTCATAAGGCAGCACATGAAGTTTCCCACAATCACAAATCACAAACAGGAACCATTTATGTGAAGCCAGCTTGGTGAAGGGCCAGCACTCATCATATAGTTTCTTTACTTTTCAGACTAAATAACACTAAAACCTCTAGCTGTTTTGTGGGAAGATGGGGAAGAAAAGCAGTGTTTATAAGCCATCCAGTGATATTTGAATCTTCAAGTGCTGCTGAGACTATCCTGGGTCTGCCACTATATCTCCCAGATTATTTATGGTTCTTTGGAAAACACCCAGATCTCCTGTTTTTCTGTGGTAAACAGCTGTGAGCTGTCTGATAAGGGGCGCAGGACAACTGTGCAGGCCGAGCGGGTGCAGGCTCTTCAGAGTGACCCCTGACCCTGCTTTGCTCTGCCTCTCTGCAGTGTGTGCCCCCGGATGAAGCCTGCACCTCACTGGACGCCTCAATGATCTGGGCCATGATGCAGAATAAGAAGACATTCACCAGGCCCCTCGCTGTGATCCACCAACAAGTAGAAGCTAAAGGTGCGTTTTGGGAGGCTCAGTCAGAGAATAGGGGCCTGAGGGCTGCTCCTTTTAAGAAGCTCCAGTATTAAAACAATGAAAAAGAAGCAGTAGCTCCAATACTGTAAATCAAAGTACAGTTGTATTCAAAAGATACATTAAGGGCTAGGGCGCCTGGGGGGCTCAGTCGGTTAAGCATCTGGCTTCAGCTCAGGTCATGACCTCAGGGTCATGGGATCGAGTCCTTAGTTGGGCTCCTCACTCAGAAGGGAGTCTGCTTCTCCCTCTCCCTCTGCCGTTCCCCTCACGCATGCGTGCGTGCGCATGCTCTCTCTCTCTCATTCTCTCTCAAATAAATAAAATATCAAAAAAAAAAAAAAGGGCCAATTAGTAACTTTAGAAAAGGATTTTTGCCAAAGGAGCCTTTTATATAGTTGGGTCTGCTCTGCCTTATGGCTGAGTTATTAGTGATAGGTTTGCCAACGATTTCCTCTTTTAAATATTAGATCAAAGTTGTCCCTATCCCAATGTCACTCTCCCTTGCCATTCAAATATCTTCCTCAAGTATGGAGGGAAGCCTCCGAGGTCCTCCTTGCATGCTGGGATTGAACAGCCCCCAGCCCATCTTTCATGATCTACTAGCAGTGTTTGTGCTGAGTACAAGCAGTCCCAGGGCTGTGTCCAGATCGCAGATGCCTTATTGCGGGGGAAGGGTGTTGTGTTTGTGACTACCATCCATCTTAGGTCAGAGCAGAAGAAAGGTTGAGAACTACTGTCCAAATGCATTTTTATAATTCAGGTTTCAGAATTGTACACAGTCACATTTGTTGCTTGAAGCCAAGGGTGCCTCTTCCTACACACATAGGAGCATTCAGCAGTCTGCACTTTCTTGTAGGAGAAAAGGAAGGTTGCCGTCCTAGGAGATGTGGCCTCAGGTGGCCAGGCAAGGCAAAGCCAGACCTAGTGTAGGCCAAGTCAGCCAAACCAATAGAGAAGCAGAACTGGGCTCCACGGGGGTGTTAGGAATGGACCTGAGGCCCTGTGGACTGTGGAGAGCATCTGGTGGGACGGGCATCACGACTGAAGGGCACAGATGGGCAAGAACACATCAAGCAGCTGGCAACATCTGGGGGGGGATGGAACCAAAGGCACATTCAGGCTATCTGGGCAGCTACATTTGTCACTAAAAACAACCTATGACCACCTAGAAACATTGTCTAAGGGTGCCAAACTAAGAGAGGTCTGGGAGAGTAAAAGTGGATTCCTAGCCTCTGGGGTTAGATATTTCGGGGCTAGGTCTCTGGGCCTCCTTCCACCACCCCAAGGGGCAGAGGAGAAACACGGCACTGGAGCCTTGATAAAAGCCAGCAAGCATCCTGTCTCCAGTTGGTGAGCATTGGCTGGGAGACCTGCTGGGTGGAGCTGCTACCACGCCTAGGCTTGGGGGCAGCCCTGGGATGGCCTTTCTGATCTAAGCACTGTTGGATTTGGCAAGGCCAGGCAGCAGGGGCTAATAGAATAAGCACACAGTACCTAATAGAATGGATGCTGTCTACTTTGTTCTTTGGTGGAGTGACCTTTGTGAAAATAGCAGTGCCATTCTTGCTGACATATCTGGTGGTGGCATCTGCCCTTTTCCTAGGGGCATGCTCACTTTGGAAAGGCAAGAGAGTGTAGTGGGGAGGGTGTGGCTTAGAGTCAGGAGCCTGGGGCGCAACTCTTTCCCTGCTAACTGCGAATGGGACTTTGGAGATCTCTCCTTCTGTCCTTGACTTTCATTTTCTATGTCTGGAAAAGGAAGGGTTTAGACCAGATGGCTTCCAAAGACCCTTTCAGCTGTAACACTCAGCTCTACTGTTTGAAGAAGCCAAATAGATTTTAATTCATTTCCCAGTCATCCCGAAAGGGGTGTGAAACATACATAGTAGACGTTCATTAGTTCTTCAGCAACACCTTTTGTTGTTGCTGTTTGTTTTACTTTGATTGGTTTTCAACCATTTTATTTTATTTATTTTTTATTTATTTGACAGAGACAGACACAGCGAGAGAGGGAACACAAGCAGGGGGAGTGGGGGAGGGAGAAGCAGGCCTCCCGCCGAGCAGGGAACCCGATGCGGGGCTCGATCCCAGGACCCTGAGATCACGACCTTAGCCGAAGGCAGTCACCCAACCGACTGAGCCACCCAGGTGCCCCGGTTTTCAACCATTTGAAACAGTGTACCAGCCACAGTCCTTCTTTAAATGGATTGCCCAGGAGCACCTAGGTGGCTCCGTTGGTTAAACATCCGACTCTTGGTCTCAGCTCTGGTCTTGATCTCAGCTGAGGTCTTGATCACAGGGTCATGAGTTCAAGCCCTGCATTGGGCTCCATGGAGCCTACTTTAAAAAAAAAAAAATTGTTTTGTGTTTTTTTAAATTTATTGCCCAAAGAGTTCCCTGTTTATTGGGTCCAAGGGGAGGAAATAAGTAAATTAATTGGGTTGCAAAGTATATCACAATCGGGCAACAGCTGGCTGCATTTTGTACTGTGAAAGTGGTTTAACAATAACAACCGCTACCTCGTACTCCGTCTGTTACTCTTACCTATTTCCAGAGATACAGTTCTGTGGGTAACTGATGGCAGCAGCCTGCTTTTTTTTCTATGCCCGACAATAATTGGGCATTAATACTGCAGTAGTATAACTTCTAGTAATTCATTCATGCTTCTTTTAAGTTTGGTGGTATTTTTCTAAGTAATTCCTCTTGTAAATTAGGTAGTTACTTTTATTTAAACTTAGTGTAATTATCCTGAAAGTTCAGTGTTCTTTTACATAAAAGTTCAAGAGGAAAGTTTTACCAAATATCAAAGCAGTTTCGTGAGAGTAGCTTTTAGTGGAGAAACGTGCAGTGAAGAAAGTTCATTGCTTAGGTTTGTTAAACAAATGCAGGTTAGACTATAGGCCAGCTTCCCAGGGGCTGCGTGCAAATGTGCGTTCTAACTGCACTGAGTGGGGTCGGTTTTCTGGCAGTTTTCAGTTCTGTGAGTGACTCCTCCCACCTTTTATGTTTATTTTCTTTTGACTCTGAAATCATTTCTCCATGAGGCAGGCCACTGGAGTCTGTGCTTTCCCTCTGCCTCTCAGTGAATTGGAATAGTAACTTGAAGTGGGAATGTGACCATTTGCCTAATAGCATTAGTTTATTTGAATAATAGCAGGGTCATGATCATTCTTCCTGCCAGCTTTGTATGTTACTGTTGTAAGCCACAGATACTATGGTATCTCTGGAAGTATCTCTTACTGGAATGAATTTTAGGGATAAAAATTGCTCAAGCAGTGGGTTGTTTCACTGTCCTCTTTTTTTTTTTTTTTAAAGGTTTTATTTATTTATTTGACAGAGAGAGAGATAGTGAGAGCAGGAACACAAGCAGGGGGAGTGGGAGAGGGAGAAGCAGGCCTCCCGCCGAGCAGGGAGCCCGATGTGGGACTCGATCCCAGGACCCTGGGATCATGACCTGAGCCGAAGGCAGATGCTTAACGACTGAGCCACCCAGGCGCCCTCACTGTCCTCTTTTAACCACACAGATACTCTTTGAAGGCTGTGCCGAAGTTCCAGGTCTCCATGGTCATTTGGTCCATCTTATTTTTCAACACTTGGGTTTTCTGGGGCAACAGCAGATAAAGTCTCTGGTTATTGGCTTCACAGCCAAGCAGAGAGCTGCTCTGTAGCTCCCAATACCAATGGTGTGGACACATTTCAGGTGGTGTTTCTTCCTTCTGTGGACAGACAGAATAGGCCAAGACTAAATAACTCTGGGTCCCTCCTCTGGGCCACCATTTTTAATGGAACTTGCCCGAGCCTCTGCAGCACGGAACCACCATCTCAGTCCCTTGGGAATCAGCACTGGGTTAACATTCTTTTGCTGCTAAAACTTTCAACAGTAGATGACGGTGCTGGTGGTGATGATAGTCGTAGAAATGACAACAATGATTATCTCACATTTACTGAGCATTTACTTGGTACAAGGCTCTGTGCTAAATGCTTTGTGTGGATCCTCGTATTTAATCCTCATAGCCCTTCTGTGAGGCAAGTATAGAGCAAGAATAAGTAACTTGACCAAGGTCACACCACATATAAATGAGTGGTGGATCTGGAATTCAAATCCAGGCACTTTGATTCCAGAGTTTGTGCCTTTCTAAACCCTTTGCCTTATGCTAGGTGGAGGTTGATTCTAGTTTTTAAGAAACTACAAGCAACATTGACATCTATCTCTTGACATCCTCTTCCCACCTCCTTCTCCTTTTCATGCCATACATATCACATTGGTGTTCAAGTTCACATCCAAATACTCTAATTGACTGTGAACTGAAAAGATGAAGAATTTTAGGAAAAAAGTCTGTTCTCCAGAGGGTAAGATGTTGGGAAACATGGAAGCTGTTTAAGAGAGTCTTAAAATTTAGAAGTTCTGTGACTTTGAATTGTAACTCACAAAAAAAGCCCAGAAAACATGAATACTTTATGCACATTATGGTTTATGGCAAAACAATTAAAATAGTTGAGGTAGTGCCATCCTGCCATATTTTCTGAACTATTTTGAAGTATAGGCATGTTAGTGTGGTTTGCTTTGGATGCTGTGACCATTTTTGTGGCATTTGAGAACAGTAGGGCTTACACAATAAAAATGGCTATACCACGTCAGTGATAATTTTTTGCGAATGGTGAAAGGGAAAAGTTATCATTTTTCTGAAATTTAGGGCACATATAAAAAAGTGAGTGAGAAAGAACAATAAACATCATCCCCAAACAGGCCATGATTTATGTACGACATGTAATTCTTAGCAAGTTAAATGTTCAAAATACTGAATTTCCACTACATAACTTTTCAAAAATAAGTGTGCTCAGGACAGCACCTGGCATATCATGGGCACTCAGTAAATATTAATTTCCTTTCCTTCCTCTTAACCTCTCAGCCAAACTAGGTTTTTGGGGAGAGTAGGGGTGGACGGGGAATGAAAAGGAAAGTTGTGAACGTCAGTTGGAAG